ACAACTGGAGAGAAGGTTTCAGTGAAGTCTATGCCTTCTATTTGTGTGTCTCCCGTGATAACCAAATATGTCTTAAACCTTTCCAAAGAACCATCTGATTTGTATTTCACTCTGTAAATCCACTTGCAGGGAAGAGCTTTCTTCCAAGAGGTAAAGGTACTACTTCCCAAGTTTTGTTCAATTCAAGAGCTTCCAATTCCTTAGCCATAGCCTCTTGCCAACCTGGATGCAACATAGCTTGAGAATAGGAAGTAGGTTATGTGAGGTATGAAGTGAAGTTTATCAAGGATTGGTTGGCAAATGAAAAAGTTGTAAAGGGTAACACATTAGGTTGAATTAGTGCCATAAAACAAGAGTTAGTTAAATCAGCAAGAAAGACTGAGTTGCAAACACAGTCTTGTAGGTATGAAGGTGTGTTATGTGTTCTGGTGGATTTCCCGATTTCTGGAAGTGTTATGGGCAAAGGGGAACGAGGAAATGATCTTGAATGAGAATTAGAGGTTGACTGAGGTGTGCTGGAGATGCTTTGCTTGATGAATTTAGATGGTGATTGAGAGTTTTCCTTTGATGTCATAGGGTTAAGTTGGTCATGGTCTGATACAAAACTATAGTCTGTGGTTGAGGGAATAGGAAAAATAGAGGTTGGAATTAGATTAGTGGAGGAAAAAAGGTATTGTTATTCATAAAGTTGTACATCCTTGTATACTGTCACTCCTTTTGTATCTAGGTCTAGAATCTTATACCCTTTCTGCCCCAAAGGATATCCCAAAAACACACAAGGCTTTGCCCTTTGTAACGACCCGACCGGTCATTTTGAGCTCTAGCGTGTCGTCCGGCGATTTGAGATCTTAAGTAGCTTCACTTCAAGTATTATGACTTGTATGTGTGGTCAGAATTGAATTTCGGGAAGTTCAGAGTTGATTCAGATGGAAAATTCTAAATTCGAAAGCTTTAAGTTGGAAGAATTGACTAAGGTTTGACTTTTGAGTAAACGACCACGGAATCGGGATTTGAAGGTTCCAATAGGTTCGTATGATGATTTCGGACGTGGGCGTATGTTCGGAGTATCGGGTCGCCTGGGAGAATTTCAGTGCTCATTATGGAAAGTTAACATTTTGAAAGTTTAAGAATTTCTTAAGTTTGATTTGAAGTTGACTTTGTGTTATTGATGCTCGTTTGTGTTTTCGAGCCTTGGAATAGGTTTGTATTGTGATTTATGACTTGTGCGCAAAGTTTGGCATCATTCCAAAAAGTTTAAGTGTGATTCGGACGCGTTTGGCAAGGTTTGAATGCTTGGGAGTTTAAATAAAGGTTTTGAACGTCAATTCGTAATTTTGATGTTGTTTGACATGGTTTGAGGCTTTGACTATATCTGTATCGTGCCTTGCGATGTGTTGGTATGCTTGGACGGGGTCCCGGGGGCCTCGGGTGCGAATCGGATTGGAAATGGATTGAGTTTGGACTTGGAAGAATTGCTGAGGCAGATGTGATATGGTGCAATCGCACCTGCATGGAAAGAGCCGAAGGTGCGAGACCGCAGAAGTGGCCATGTCGTCGCAGAAGTGGTTGAGTTTTAGGTTGGTTGGATTCTGTCATGACCCAAAAACCGACTGTCGTGATGGCGCCTATCGTGGAACTAGGCAAGCCAACTACTCAACCAGTTCAACCAAATAAAAGCTTTGAAAATTAAACGGAAGCAGTTAATATTTAAGAAAAACCTTTTTAAAAACCGAAATAAAACCACAACGCCATACAAATCTCTCTCAAAATCGGGATGTCACCGAGTATATGAGCATCTATACCAGGATACAGCCTACTACAATGTCTGAGGAAATAAGAACTGAAATACAAATAAAGATAATGAAGGAGAGTTAAGGCCTGCGAACGCCATGCAGCTATCTCGATAGTCTCCGAGATCTCGACTCCTCACTCAGCAGCCGCCGTAACCAGAAGCATCTGGATCTGCACACGAGGTGGAGGGTGTAGCGTGAGTACAACTAACTCAATAAGTTACAAATCCAAATTATGGACTGAAAGTAGTGACAAACTCAACCGGCACAGTTCAATACAGAAACTAACAGTGCAGAAATGTAGACACGCTTTCAAGTTTGATAGATATCTCAAAATAGTAAAAATGGATCAATTATGAATGATATGAAGAATATAACTCCTCTACTTCTACATTCCAATGCACATGCTGTATGTGATGCACCATGATGACAACCTCATGTGCTCACACTCTCGAATGCTCAATCACTCGGTATTGTATATGGCCCAGGGAAGATCCATCCCGGAATATATACGTCACTGTCCATCCGTCACCCAGTACCGAGTAGGGCCAATCTAGCTCGTGGAGAAGATCCATCTCTAGGTATATA